AAAACCATCAGGGCCAGGAGCTTTGTTGCTATTATAATCCTTGATTGCAGCCAATACCTCAGTTTCATTGAAATTTGAGACCAGGTGGTGAGAAACATAATCTGCCTCAATGGTCTTGAATACCCCTTCCAAGACAGGTCTTTAGCCCAATCCTCAGCAAACTGTTTCTTGAAGTGTTGGTTGACCTCAATTTTAACCCTGGTAGGATCCTCATAAGACTCCCTATTAACTTCAATAGAGTTAATCATATTTCTACTTTGTCTGGCATTGGCAAAAACATGGGAAAACCTAGTATTCTTATCCCCATTTATAGTCCAATTCAATCTAGATTTTTGATGCCAGATCCATTCCACCATTCTGTGCAGCTTCCACATCTCTCCTCTGACCACTTTTTTTCTTTCCATTTCAACTTCAACCAAAGGTCTTCCTTCTGCCAAGATGTGTAATGCATGTAATTCCTCCTCTAAAACTTTGATTTTGGATGAGACATTACCAAACACCTCAACATTTCATTTCTTTAGTTGTAGCTTTAAATTCTTTAATTTTTGTACAAGTATGAAGCCAGCCCATCCAGTAACAGAAATGCTGCTCCAGGTATCCACAAAGAACTTGGAGAAGCTTGGATGAAAAGACCAGGCATTTAGGAACCTGAAGGGTCTGGGCCCCAAATCTCTTTCATCCTCCATCATCAACAGAGGACGGTGATCTAAAATTAATCTAGGCAGCCCCCATAGCTTTATTCTGAAATTGATCAACCATTCTGGACCAAGCAGTACTTTGTCTATACGGCTCCATTTCTTAGACTCCTGGGCATTACACCAAGTGAATGTCCTCCCATGAAGAGGTAGATCATTAAGATCACATTTCTCAATAAACTCATTAAGATGTTTCATCCCCCTATCCCTCCTGGAGCAGCCTATCCTTTCACCTATATGTCTGATTTCATTGAAGTCCCCACCCATACACTAAGGAGCAGGGAAATGGTCTTTGAGCTTGAGAATATCAACCCATAAAGTTGATCTAGCATTGGTATCATTTGGTGCATGTATGTTAATCAAAACACAATCAAAGGAGTTATACAGAGAGCCAGAAAGCAAGATGAACCTTCTATTGCAACAACAGCTAGAGAGTTGGAAGACAGTAGGGTCCCAAATACATAGAAGCCCCCCAGCAGAGCCTTCAGGATCCACAGACACGTAATCCATATTTCTGCACCCCCAAAGCCTTCTAACAACATTATCTGAATCCACTGCTTTCTTGATCTCTTGAAGGAAAACAATGTCTGCATGCCTGTCCTTTATAGGACTTTTTATTCTGCCCATCTTCTCTGGTTTACCCAAACCCCTAATATTCCAAGATAGTAGCTTCATAAGTAAACAAAGTGATACACTTAATTCGCTCATCTGCAAGATTTAATTATTGAGCCTTCCCTTTGGAGATTCTCTCTTTATCCTTGAGCTCAAGGTCAATTATCTTGCTCAATACAACATCCTCTTCCCCATTGTATTTGACACCCAATGATTTCCCCAAATGTATAGTAGCTTTGGCTTATTCAAGAAGACAGTTGTTTGACGATGAACCACTTTCAGATAAATCAGACTTGGCTAAAGTACATGCGCTGGTCTGAAAATGACAGACGTAGAGGAATGCTTATGAGCTGCTGCAGATCTAAAGCCATGAAATCTAGCAAAGCTATTGAATCCCTCGATATGAATCTTCTTCTTTCCTTTTTTTCCTCTTTGTTTGTAGGTATTCTAGATTAAGAACAAGAGACTTGACCTGGGCTGAGTGGTTGAGATTTAGTAAAGTGATTCCATTTGACCCAGACTTGTTTGAAGGCCCAGCAGATTGCAAATGAGTCGAATGGCCAGATTCAATGGGCCTATTATAAGAGCTACTGGCTAAGAACTGTGGCAACCCTCACCATTGATTACTATTAAACTGAGACTGATTATGATGATTGACTGAATTGACTGAAATCTGGAACTGATTGATTGTCTGTATCTGTTTAAGTGCATCCCTATCTATTCGACTGTTAAACTATATGTTCATGTTTTATGTTTTAAACTGCAAATTGAAGGCCTTATCATCGGCCGAATCTGAAATTGATTAGTGATGTGTGTTAATCATAATTTATGTGGTTTTATGGCATATTTATTTGAAATGTGATTTGGTATGATTAAATAGATTAAAATAAGTTAAATTACACAAGTTGCATTATTTACAACTTTGCCACTTAGTGGCCCACTTCATACCATATGTTGAGACTTGAATTATACATTGTTTAGTATCATTTCCTCAGCCATTCCTTGAGTTCATAGCCCACTAGAGAGAGAGAGAGATAGGAGAGAGCTTGTTTCCATCTCAAATTGGCTTAGAGACTTGGAGAATTGATAGAAGATTTGCAAAATTGAGCTTCTAGGCTTGGAATTGGAGACCTAAGGTAGAGATTATACCTTCTTGTTCATGTATTCAAGTTATATGTGCATGGTTTATGGAAGTCTAGAGATTAAGGTCATGAATTAGCTTAATTTGTTGAATCAAAGCTTAATCTTTGCATGCATGGGCATATTCTTGCATTTTGAAGTTGTTCTTCACAAATTTGCCACATGCATGTTCATATTTTGAGTATAGTTCATGATTTTACCATGTTTTTGGAAGAATTAGCTCATTAGAGCATGTAATTGAAGCTTTGAATTGGTTTAAACTCATGCATGTCATGTTTGAGTTATGTTCTTGGAAATTGGTTTGAAACTGAGTTTAATTGAATTACCTTTGGGCTTTGATTTCTCAAATTGATCTTCAAAACATGTTATACTTATATTATGAGTTTTGAAGTGTTTTCCAGGAAATTAGCCCAAAAGAATCGAATTTGGTACATTGAAACTTTTTTTTGAGCTTGAGATTCAAATCTTGAAATTCCAGATTTTGGACTCACGCTCGAGCGGAGTGACTGGCGCTCGAGCGTGAAATTCGTGCATCCAGCACTTTACACTATTTTACAGTCCACTCGAGCAGGGTATTGGACGCTCGAGCGAGGACTTGTGTAACACGCTCGAGCGGGTATTGAGCGCCCAATCGAGCGTGATTTTCACATATCCAGTACTTTTGGCATGTTTTACAGTCCGCTCGAGCGGGGTAACTCGCGCTCGAGCGGATTATATTGTTTGTCTGTACGCTCGAGCGGGTAAATCCACGCTCGAACGGGACCCCTGTTTTCTGAAAATATTTTTAAAGTGCATCTTTGCATCCTCATTCCATTCTAGGCATTCTTAGGCCTAGTATAAGGCATCTTAATGAGGATATTGATGTAGAACCATACCGAGTCTAGATAAGGATTAAGTTACTATTTTTCCCAACTGTGTAGCTTAGTGTGTGTTTACTCTGTAACTGTGTAGGGTTGGCATCCGGAGACGCATACTAGCTTATCTGTAGCCCAGAATCCTGTGAGTAACAATGTCGTAAAGATATGTTCGAAAATGAATATTTTCTGAATGATCAATTGAACTGTTTTCTGAACTGTTTACTGTTAACTAAATAAATGTTTGTCCTCTATTCTGAACTGTATTGTGGCATCCTTAGCAACTACTGTTATTGTTACTGCTACTGTTACCGTTACAGAGATCTCTGTCAGTCCCTATCTTGGAACTTCTATTTACTGTTACGATGGCCATCATTGACTGTTCGGTCTTTCAAGACCTACTGTTTACTGTACTGTTCTGCTAATGGATGTACCACATATGATTGTTATGACTGAATGACTGATACATTGAATCAATTGACTATTTTCAATACTGAAAGGACATTCATTCTTAACCTCTTTACACATTATGTTATTCACTAGGTTTTAGCTCACTGCTTATATATATATGTAGGTGTACAGGCACCGGACCATTGCTAGAAGCGTCGGGCTAAGCTTCCGTTTTGTCAAAGCCAACCACTCTGCCTCACTACGAGGTTCCAAGTCTTTCAAGCTAGGGCTTTTGGGGTGTTTTAGTTTTCCCCTTCTTGTTTATGTTCTGTATAGACTGAATGGTTGTACTATACTATTTTAAATAGGGATTAAGTCCCTTTCCTGAATGATTGTATATATTGTACATACTATTTTGGTAATGATTGTACATGTATGTATAGACTGTTCTGTTATGATTGTGCATATGAATGAAAAGTCTTTTTGCATACAGACTGTCACAGCTCATTGGACATCTTTTAATTACTGTTTTGGCTTTCGCCAGCCCCTGTACTCTATATTACTGTATTACTGTTAAGCAGGCCTTCGGTAATCTCGGATTACTAGCCGGTTACGGTGCTAAACCCATAGGAGGGGTTTGGGTCGTGACAGAGTGGTATCAGAGCGATACTTAATCACGAGTTATACCGCACACACGTGTCCAAATGAGCTATAGGATGTTCTAGAAAGTGATTAGGGCATTACATGAGCATGATAAGTGTGTGTGGCTAAGACATGAATATAACTGTTAATGTGATAATCTGTCTAAGTATGCAACTGCCTATGTTTATAATTGTTATAACTGCCTATAGTGAGATGGATAACGCAAGAAATGTTGATGAATCTGAATCCTCTGGAGAGAATGGTGGAACTATTAACTGAAAGACTAGGGCAACAACAGAACCAATAGCTCCCACCTCTTCCAGTACAACCAGAGCCACCTATGAATGATGATATCATAGCTCTGACACAGAAATTTAGTAAGATGAAACCGCCATCCTTTCAGGGAGGCCTTGAACCCTTAAAGGCTGAAGCTTGGGTTCTTGAAACAGAAAAATTGTTTGAAGTGTTTCCGTGCTCGGAAGCACATAAAGTGTTGCTAGCTACCTTCACCTTACAAGAAGAAGCTAAAAGGTGGTGGATGTTGGTCCGTGACACCAATACTGCTATGGATTGGGCTCAGTTTAAGGGAGCCTTCTTCGAGCAATACTTCCCTCAGTGTGTCAGGGACAGAAAAGAGACTGAGTTTGAACAACTGAAACAAGGGCCCATGTCTGTCGCAGAATATGAGTCAAAGTTTACCGAACTTGCTAGATATGCACCACACATGGTGGACACTGTCTACAAGAAGGTCAGGAAGTTTGAAGACGGCCTCAATGTAGAAATACTAGACAGAATCAATGTGCTAAAGTTACTGAAATATGTGGATGTTCTTGACCGAGCAATCATGGCTGAGTTGAACATCGAGGCACTGAAACAAACTAAAACACCAGCGTCTGAATGGCGTGGTAAAAGACGAGGCTTTAAGTTCAAGAAAGGCAGAAATAATTCATCGAACAAAAAGCAGAACACAGGGTCAACGACTAGTTCTAGTCAAGGGAACCGTTCTATACCGCCCTGCTCCGAATGTGGTAAGAACCATAAGGGAGTTTGTTATAAATTATCTGGTGCTTGTTACAGGTGTGGCAAGGTGGGCCACATGGTCAAAGATTGCCTTTCCACTCCTCAGGGCAATAGTAAAGCTGCACCAAGCGCAGTAGCATCAACTGCTCCACCGAAACCCAACCCTAAAGCGACTGGAAAAGAGCCCATGAGGCAAGGCCGAGTGTTCGCACTGGTACCGGGAGATGTGCAGAATACCGAGACCGTTGTGTCAGGTATCCTCTCAATCTGTACTCAAAATGCATATGTTCTGATTGATTTGGGGTCTACACATTCATATGTATCGCATGCTTTTTCGCGAAAATTGAATAGACCATTGGAACCCATGAATTACTTGTTAGCTGTATCTTCACCTGTTGGGGGATCTGTGACTTGTGCTTATATGTACCCTGTATGTGAAATTATTGTTGGAGAGATGCATCTGTATATTGATTTATTGCCTCTAAACATTGATCATTTTGACGTGATATTGGGAATAGACTGGTTAACAAAATATCATGCTACTATAGACTGCGTGACAAAACAAGTTATTTTCCGTCCACCTGGTCTACCCGAATTTGTGTTTAACGGAAGTGGAGTGGTACCTCCCTCATATTTGATTTTATCTATGAAAGCATAGAAACTGATTAAAAAGGTGTGTAAAGGGTATTTCTGTTCTGTATTGACTATATCTACTGGTGTTAACGCTAATGTGAATAGTATTCCTATAGTTAGAGAATTCCCAGATGTATTTCCAGATGATCTGCCAGGGGATTTGATTGATAGGGAGATTGAGTTCACCGTTGATGTGATTCCGGGTACACATCCAGTATCTAAAGCTCCTTACCGAACGGCTCCGACTGAACTGAAAAAATTGAAAGTGCAACTGCAAGAACTGTTAGATAAGAAGTTCATCAGACCCAGTACTTCGCCATGGGGCGCACCTGTCTTGTTTGTGAAAAAGAAAGACGACTCACTGAGACTTTGTATCGACTATCGTGAACTGAACAAGGTAATTGTGAAAAATAAATATCCATTGCTGCGTATTGATGACTTATTTGATCAATTACAGGGTGCTCAAGTGTTCTCTAAGATTGATCTCAGATCCGGATATCATCAGCTGAAAGTTAAACTAGAGGACATTGACAAAACTGTTTTTCAAACGAGGTATGGACATTACGAATTCCTAGTTATGCCTTTCGGAGTTACCAATGCACCTGCTGCATTTATGGACCTTATGAACAGAATTTTTAAACCATTCCTCGATGACTTTATTGTTGTATTTATAGATGACATTCTGATTTATTCTAAAAGTAGAGAAGAACATGAACATCATCTGAGACTTGCCTTACAGACCCTAAGAGAACAGAAACTGTATACGAAATTGAGTAAATGTGAATTTTGGCTTGATCATGTTATGGTTTTGGGACATGTTATTAGTAGAGATGGCATTTCAGTTGACCCACAGAAAGTTGAAGCCGTGGTAAATTGGCCTAGACTAACAAATGTTATAGAAGTCCGAAGCTTTTTGGGGTTAGCCGAGTATTACAGAAGATTTGTCAAAGACTTCTTCAAAATTGCCTTACCACTGACACAGTTGACTCAGAAGGAGATATCCTTTGACTGGACTTACCAAAGAGAATCAACATTCCAAGAGTTGAAAACTCGACTTATGACTGCACCGGTTCTTACCCTACCTTCAGGTACGGATGGTTTTACCATTTTTAGTGATGCTTCTCATAAGGGTTTGTGATGTGTTTTAATGCAAAATGGGAGAGTTATTGCCTATGCTTCCCGACAACTGAGACCACATGAAAAGAACTACCCGACCCATGATTTAGAACTTGCTGCAGTAGTGTTTGTACTGAAAATCTGGCGTCACTACCTTTATGGGGCGACATGTGAGGTGTAGACAGACTACAAGAGTTTAAAGTACTTTTTCACACAGAAAGAATTGAATATGAGGCAACAGAGATGGTTAGAATTGATAAAAGATTATGATCTACAGATTTTGCATCATCCGGGGAAAACTAACACCGTTGCCGATGCACTGAGTCGGAAATCGGTTAGAAACTTAGCCTGTTTACTCACCGGACAGAAAGAGTTGCTTTGTGACCTTGAAAAATCTGAAATTGAGATTGTTTTGCGAGAACAAGGTGGAATAATAGCTGCTAGTTCTGCTCAACCGGCATTGATTGAAGAAATTAAAGAGAAACAGCAACAAGATGACTTCTTAAAGAAGATCATCAAAGAATGAGAATCCAAATCGAGGCCGGATTTCAAATTTGAGAATAATGTGTTGAAATTCCAGGGAAGACTGTGTGTACCGAATGATTCTAAACTGAAAAGAAGAGTTCTGCAAAAGGGCCACAATTCGAAACTGTCTATCCATCCAGGAAATACGAAAATATATCAAGACTTGAAGTTGAATTTCTGGTGGCCGGGAATGAAGAAAGAAATTGTCGATTTTGTGTCGAAATGTTTTCATTGCCAACAAGTTAAAGCCGAACATCAACGACCCGCAGGCTTACTGCAACCCTTACCCATACCGGAGTGGAAATGGGAACATATCACCATGGATTTTATTGTTGGATTACCTCGCTCCAGTAAAGGTATGGATTCCATTTGGGTTATTGTTGATAGACTGACTAAATCTGCTCATTTCTTACCTGCCAAAACAATTTATAATGCGGACAAATTAGCTATACTCTATATTGATGAAATTATGAGATTGCATGGAGTGCCTGTGTCCATTGTTTTTGATAGGGACTCGAAATTTACATCGAGATTTTGGCAAAGCTTACAGACAACATTGGGTACTGAACTGAGATTCAGTAGTTGTACACACCCCATTTTTGACCGTCCTCAAGACTTGGACGTCACCATTTGAACACTCGGTGATCATCCATGTTTGTGTTCGTTTGGAGTTCCCGGAGGTCTCGGCTACGCGCCTTGCCTCAGGAACTCCGAACTCGACTGTTTTGTGCTTGGTTTGACACCAAACACTTGTGTTTTGCCTTTGAGAGGCAGGGTAGGGCTTGTGTAGCGCCCCTAATTTTCTTAAGTCATTATTTATTATTATTATGATTATTATTAACAAGGTAATTGTGAAAAATAAATATCCATTGCTGCGTATTGATGACTTATTTGATCAATTACAGGGTGCTCAAGTGTTCTCTAAGATTGATCTCAGATCCGGATATCACC